GACGACGACAATGAAGAATGCCGTCCAGTTTGTGTCGGTTCCGCTGTTAACGTAGGCCCTGTATAGCCTGTTCTTCTCTGCTAATTGACGCCGGCTTCCCTTGCTGCCGCCGCCCGATAAATCCTGATGTCGAAGACTGGATGACTATGGACGTCCAGGGGGGGGGGAATGGATTGCCTTCAGCAGATGAAACAAACGGGTGTTCCACACTTCGGGATTGAGTACGACTGGCTGACGACGACAAATAAGCCAGAACTGGCCATTTAAGTCTCCCTTGTCTTTGTCAGTGAGTGAGCGCATGCGGTTAGACCGTAGAAAGTTTTAATTCAGCCAGCAGGTTGTCCGACCGTGGAACTCGCTTCCTGACGAGATGGTGATGGCTGACACAATTTGTATGTTTAAAAGAAAACTTGCTCGCCTAATTTTCGACAGAAATTGGCTTTTGCAGCATGACTACCCACAACCAGTTCCGTAAACACTGTCAGATAAATCCCTCGGCACTAACTTACAGTGGCCTGATACACTTCCTTATCATTGCGATTGTACTGTGACCCGATCACATTGTAAACGTCTGCAATTTTATTTTGAGTTTGAATCTGCGAATGCACTGTACATAAATAGGGTCATCAAGGGCTCTACCTTCAACCCTTTAAGTATATATACACATATATACACAAATTATGAGTGATAATATCCGATGCAATGCTACCCCTGCCTTTCTTGACTGTCGTTATTTCATGGGCAGCAGTTTTTTTTCTCCTGAAGCCTTCAAACTATACAAAACCACCATCATCTTCGTTTTTTTGTCGGGAGTTTTTTTCACAGCTGGCAGGATTCGTGTTTTATCGTCCTCTGACAATATCTGCGAACTGGCGTCAAATATTATTATTATTTTCTCCGGAAATTTTTTGCTTGTGATCTCGACTGATAGTTACTACTGGATATTACACACTGCGTACAATGTCCACTTGCGATGGAAAACTCGCCATGACCACTCCCTTATTATAGACATATTTCTCTGTTTGATCTTAACTCATTATAGAAACCGAAGAACCGATCCCGGGCGAGGTCTCAGAAGAGGACGCCTGATTGGACAAGGGACACTCCGGTTTCCCCCGTGGCGTGTGCGGTTGGATCTTCTGGCTGACTGCTTGTGGTTCACTTCTTTTCTTCCTCTTGAGCACTCTTGTGTCTCGTTCCCCCTTCGCTCTCCCGCTATTACCGTTCCCTAATAAACACTCTCCCTCCTTCGACGAGATCTTCTGATTTGGAACGGTGTTCTGCCTGCTTGCTTACTACACACTAATCGATTTTAAATTTACTGACGTTTGGTGGAACTGAACATCGATACTTCTGTGGTCAATTTCAGCGGATGGTTCCACATCAACATAGCCCTATGTTTGAAATTTGTTTGTTTGCTATTTTCAGATTCCCTTCGTCCTCGCTCCGACGTTCCATTGCCAATGTCCTCATTTTCATCCATTCGACTGGATTGCATCATTTAATAGCGTACCGTTAATATGAGTGCTTGCCACTTTGGGAAGTCTTTCGGTCGGGTTTGAAGTGCAAGACGAGGAACTTAAACACATTAGTTTTCAAAAACCTTTGTTCGACTGCAGGCTTGGCTTGTCGTTGGTCGATTGCAACTATTTTGCTTTTTCGGCATTGTCGACCTGACAACATTTCGTAAAATCATTGGAAGATATGAAGGCCTCGGAATTTAATTCCCTTGTACAGACTTTCACTTTTACCAACAAACGCAGCAGGCCGAAAGCAGAAGTCTATGGACCGGGGGCCAATCGTTTAGCAGTTTTAGCGTGAAATTATTATTCAATTCAATTCAATTCAATTATTTTTATTAAAGACCCGTCGGGGTCCCATCAAGGCAAGTAAAAATAAATTTACATGCAAATTTGAAAAATGAAAGTTCTTGATCCATTTAAACAGCATACCTCATGTTTCTATTTAAAAAATATTTTGTAAAATCGCAATGTGAGGCGCCTAACAAAACATCTTCCCAAAATTGGAAAAATTAACGTCCACTGGATAACGCTTTCACGCGACATTTGTTCCCTTCGCATGAGTGTCGAAAATTGTCGTAAAAGTGGGCATCCACGACGAAGATAGCAATACGAAAGTTAGCATGTCTAATTTTGCCTAAGATATTTCAGTATATTTTTTAATGCATCCCATTTCGAATGCGATATTCCGGTTAGGATAGGCGTAAAATAATTTTGGCAATGCAGTCAAGATGCTCCTTTACAGATAGAAGAAATAAACGCAGGCACTGAGGGCTGAGGATGTGTATTTGTTTATTCAGTTTTGAAAGGCATTTAATAAACCGCTGCTGACATATTTTTTTAACTTAAACACTTGCTTGTCGTTTGTTTTACTCTCCTCAATACATTACTCATCGTAGTGTCGCGGTTGCAGTGACTGTTGGTCCAAGGCGCTGGCTACCCGTATCACCGGCTGCCAATCCTGTGCTTCACGCGCTTCTGCTGTTTGGTCACTGCTGCCGACGATGCCAAATATCAAAGTGTTTTCTGGAAGTTCAAATTACGATCTGGCCAAGAGGATAACGGATCACATCGGTATTAAATTGGGAATGGCTAACTCCAAAAAGTTTAGTAACCAGGAGACGTGGTAAGTGAAGTTTTGGCGAGTGACTCTTTAAGTGTTGAAGTTATCGAATCTGTTCGTGGAGAGGATGTATACATAATCCAAACTGGAAGTGGAGAAGTCAATGATCATCTTATGGAACTATTGATTATGATCAATGCGTGCAAGATAGCATCCTCTTGTCGAGTTACTGCTGTTATCCCATGCTTCCCATACGCAAGACAGGACAAAAAGGTGATTTTGCCTTCTTTCCAGTAGACTTTTCATAATAACTGACACTACGTTTTCCACCTGTTAGTATCACCTTTTCCCCGTTGGTCGTATTATCAGTCCCTCATCTAAGTGATTTCCCAATCACGCGTTTGTATGGGCTCGGACTTCCGTGTCCTCAACTATCACGGGATGTATGTATATTTCACTTGTGCTTGACTCTAACGAGAATTGTCCTCTGTCTGAATTTCATAATAATTTACAGACAGTCTCAGATACCGGCAGTAGGTATGACCAGTAGCCGCGCATACATGGCACCTCAGTCGACTCCACCCGTCTCTTCACTGATAGGTGTTATTCGAGAAAGCTATATATATCCTGTGTCAACAAATGAGGGTTTTGAACGGTAGATCGATACTTTGTTTTGGAAGATTTCAGTATTTGGCTAAGGTGCTCATCACTATCCGTCGGTCAGAATTCGACGTAACCTGAAACTAGTGTGGGAGCTGCTCGTTGGTCAAGAGGTTTGTAGAACAAAATCTTCTAAAGCCATTCCATCTGCATATTTAGCAAATTGCTCTGTTTAAACACGCAGTACCCAAGAACGACACCATAAAGAGGAAATGCCGCCGAAAGTGACTGGGTGTGAACCGATAATTTGTAGTGTTTTAGCCGTTATCAGCCATTCATACCCCAACCCAAGTAATGGATAACCTGGGGTTCGGAGTCGGACTTTTTGGCTAGTGAGTGTTAGGTAAGATGCTTTACCACTAAGTCACAGGCTTGCCTTCATGTTGGTTGTGACTCGGCATAAAGTTCCAGGACAAAGCAAAAGGGCACGTTCTACCACACAACTAAATTCGTAACACCACGTTTACGTGAACTGTATAGTGTTTGTTAACGATGTTCTTATTTTCGAAAGACCTGAATGTTCGACTCATTTAAGCGGTCCTGTCATCACTCACACGCAACTCAAAGGAAGTAATCGATTGCGCTGATAGGGTAGTTCGTTAGGGAAGTTCGATAAAAAGGCAGCAAAATGAGGCCAAAAGTATTCGCGAAGTAAATCTAGTAAAGACTGTGAATGAGAACGACAGAGAAAATAAACGCCATTTACAGCCATGTGCTGGCCTTTGTGTTAAATCGTTGTCACTGCAACATTTAGTTGTGTCAGTCTCACTTCCGCCACTCTTCCTATTCAGTCGCAGCAATATTTTCTGTCTAACAGTGTTACAGTGGCACATGTCAAGGGGGTCTATTGATTTCTTGGCTTGGTTACGATGATATTAAACACCAGATATCGGGAATGTGATCGCCACTCATTACTGGGAATTGTGCCATCTCTGCGTCATTGACATCTATGGTATTTATGACGTCTTCGTTAGGATTAACTGAAATCCTGTTGTAGTCCAGTGGTATGGTGTCCAGAGCTCAAAGGGGAACTTTAACATGATGAGTGAGGGCTCATCGCCCCACTATTTTTCTTACTTGTCTGTACTTGGTACAATTATGATCATGCCTGGTCTAGCTGGCCTCGATTATGGTACGTGTTGTACCTGTCCACGCGTGACGATCTGCGGTAGCAGGTCTGGGCAGCTCGACCCATTCTCTTCTGCAGCGACGGAGACCGAGTACAGAAGGTACAAAAACCACTTCCATGTATTGACGAACTGTCATAAGCCGGGCCTCGAGTTGATCTCCTCTTCTTCACCTCTTAAGGGCAACAGCACTAGATCGAGAGCATTAGCAGTGAGCGTATGAGATGGACGACGAAGAACGTGCCCAAACCACCTCGGTCGTCTTTTTGGATGGCGACCGTGAACCGTCATTAAATAGGTCTTCTTATCACTAGTTCCTTGTGGTTAGGTTCTTGAGCTAGGGCACTGGAGAAGACGCCCTGGAACAAACAATCTGAGAGGCTGTTGGGGACCCACCTGTGCTTGAATTTCTCAAGAAATCTCACGAAAATTTCCGACTACAGAGCCCCACTAAGAGCCTGAATAGGCGCCAAACGCCTACGTGAGATCATCTTTTATTAGTAGTTTTATCCTCTCCCCAACAGCCTTTAGTTTGTTGTATCTGGGAGTGGCCTCCCACAACTGACTGCTTCGCAGATAATGGGGCCGGATTGGCTCATGGCACGCGCTTACCGGACTGTAGGGAGTCCAGACGAGCCCAAAACTACTGGCGTACACGGGAGCTGTGGCGCCATATCTCAAAGTCCGTCTTCACGCTACGTCAACCACACATCCCAATCCCGACACCAGCCGGTTGACAGGCTTGGGCAGTCGGCTGGCGCACGGCTGAGGGAAGATGGGGGAGGCTAGTACTGGGACTCCATTCTAACGGAAAATCAGCGCATCCCTCGCTATGATAAATCTGACCCGCTTGAATCTATCACGACACGTTTAAAGTCATGGCTTGGAGGGTTTCCAAGTAGCGAGATAACTCGGTCCCCACGGTGAGTACTATGTGCGTGTGTGTGTGGAATAACTGGCAGATGGACTGAAGGTCAGGCCCAATGACTCCTTACTTTGGTCTCTGAGACACTCGCGCACTTAATATCCAAGTAATCTAATTTTTTTGAAAGCTTAACATACTGTGCGGGAGGGCTAGGTCCTGTGTTACACCCGCGAACTGGCTAATGTAACTTTGTCGGCCACTGCGTTCACCCCTACTTCAGGCCGTCTTGACATTGTCATCCCGCCACAGTTAGCTGGGTGTGCGATGAGAGAGTGCGGAAGACGCCGCGGAAGTCCGCCTTACGATAGACTAATTCACGCGAAAGTCACCGATGCTGCGCCCACCGCGTGGGCACCACGGGTGACGCAGTTCGCGACGGTCAAACTGTCGGTGTACCTAAGAACAAGCACTAATGCTGGTTTAGTCAGTTCCAGTCGACAGCACGAGCCAGCGAAACCCACACTATACAGTTACTGGGTAGGCCGGAGACATTCACCAACGTCTTCTTTTACCGAGCTGTGGATCTTAACTGTAAAATGGGTGAACTTATGCCTGCCAAGTGATCAGTCAGTGATCATGTAGCTGTTAAGTCTCCAGGATTGACGGAGCACCGGTTTAGTTACGTATAGAGTGATAATAAGTCATAGCTGTATTATATGGCGACTTTTGTTCACCGTCGTATAGGGCTTCACCCCTCATACGGGGGAGGGCTTAACCTCACACGCACCACATCCCCTGGATCTTCATGAAGTATCAGCCAGCTGCTTCGAACAGCATAATGCAGGTTAATTTTAGCCAATTGCAGTTCTTTTGATACTACATTGCAACAGGAAGTGTAAGGATCTAGTTCATGCTACCTCGGACGGCTGAAAAGCTTTTGGATAGAATAAGAGCCGTCTGTCAGGTTGGTGCCAGGATAACTACTGGATTATTTTTCGACCTTCGTCAAAAACGTGCAGCCAAATTTTTTTGCTCTAATTGGGTGCGATTTCTTGAGCTCAGACATCAGGGATGTCTTGAAGAGCTAACAGCAGTGGCTGACAGGTCGGTTTTGGAAGTTTCTGTTTCGAGAGAACCCTCTACTGTTTTGCCGTGGTTTAGTTTCCAAATTAAGCGCTTTAGCGGATGTGTGCTCGGTGGGTGACGACAATAATTTTAGATTGGTGGACTCCGAGTCCGAAGGCAGGACTTGTTCGAAGAAGACTCCATCATTGAGGCAATAACTTTCTTCGTTAGATGTTTTAAATTCCGACTCGAGCTCACCATAAAAGGCAACAATAGGCAGAGGCGTAGGCTTTTGTCGATGAGTCCGCGTGAATGGTGTGAGCAGAAGATAATCCTGTGGATTACCCAAGCCCTTTCTGACAATTAATCACGGCCTCAAAATTGTCTGTATTTGCCTTTTGGCTAAACGGCAGGCTTGGTTGGGCAGTCTGGGCGCATCGTCCGGCCTTTGACAAACGCTACCCAAATTTGGTCCATGTGTTTGAGCAATTTTCGCGTCTTATTACATATGTCGACTTTTTCAGACTTAAAATCCGACCGTGGCACTTTGAATTCAAGCCGTTGCGCATTGACATTTGTTCTGGTATACTTTAACATATTCTCCTTATAAAGGAGAGTGAGCGCAAGGCAGAACGGCTTTACTAACGGTACCAAACTTTGAAAGGCCAGATAAGAAGCGCACCTTGAATTAGAGATCTGAGTTCTATAATGAGTAGGCAAGTGCTCACAGATCCTCACAAATTACAATATTAGTGCGAGAGCACTGGGCAGGATGCCGAAATGGATGCGCGAAATTCTACAACGTATAAAATTGTTTTGCTTATGAGGAGTCGCACGTAATTCAGAAAGTCTTTGGACGCTGTAAGTCATCTTTCACTTATAGACACCCAACATTTTCCGCTGACATCGTTCCTGGAGCGAAGACCCTAATTTAATTTTCATTGTCACCGCTCATGGTGTTTTCTCCTGAACTTGCATTCTTGCATTCTCATTGTTAGGACAAATCCCGCGCGCCTATTTCGGCAAAACTAGTGGCAAATATGCTGTCGGTCGCTGGAGCAGACCACATCATCACGATGGACTTGCATGCTAGCCAAATTCAGGGCTTCTTTGACATCCCAGTCGACAATTTGTACGCAGAACCTGCGGTCATACGTTGGATTCAAAAAAATATTCCCGACTGGCAAGAGTGTTGCATTGTGAGCCCGGATGCTGGCGGCGCAAAAAGGTACCGTTGCCCGAATTTTCATGCAGATTCTAGTCTCTGGGTACACACGGTAGTAAGTAGTGTGTTCGAAACTGTTTGCTTTGGTATCCACCTCTTTTGCGGTCAACTGTAACCCGGCTGATTCTTCGGAAGTCTTTGTGTATTCGTGTGGAAATCTCCGAAACATCCGTTTAATGTTTGTCCTTTTACTAAAGCTGCTTTGGTTTTGGAAAGAAGAGCAAAGACGACTCGACGAACGCAGGTCTTTAATAACTTATCGTCGGTTATGTGGCAGGTTTATATTTAGGTGGAAACTGCAGAATGAGTAGTTTCGTAGGAGACGGACAAATTTTGGAGTTCTTCAGGTGGGAACTGGCAACTGCGAGCAATCTTACTGCACTAAGCTACCTGCGGACCGTGAACTGCCTGACTATCCACTACGGCAACCGTGCGGGTCGCACAAAATTTCTTTAAGCATGAAATACCTCTGTTCTGTGACCAAGTTTGCAGTTACTTTTTGAAGTTTTTAACGACTTCATTGGTGGCCGGTTTCTGCCAGGTGACCGGGGATCGCACTGTTGACTCATCAGTCGACATCTCCATGTCAGTTTTGGCGTCGGCTTTAGTATCTATGTACCCGTTCGAATTATATAGTCTATGCCCAAGGGCTAGTGAAGGAGTCAGTACACACTAAGGTCATTTGATTAGATAACGTTTCTCTGCCCCCCAGTCGTAGCATGGGGTCTGTAAAGAACTTCAGGGAGACTTGTGAAAGGTCACAGTCAGCTGCCTCTTTAATATTTCATCGAATGTCCTTTATCACTAACCTGTTCCCTCCACATCTGCGGAATTTTCAATTTTTGGTGAGCAAATCCTCCTCCACCACAGCGGGATCTCAACTCTTTCGTTCTATATGCTTCTGGTTACCAAAGGACCTTTGGAAACCTTAGTGCCCATACTTTTGCTGCCATTGCTACAAAAAAAACTTGGTGAGAGTGTTCAGGATGTTAGCCATTCGGATTATTCCACTTTTTTGCAAACCTCCGACTAAATTTACTCCCTTTCGACCGTGTGACGGGCCTTTTCTGCGCGTTTTCCGTCTGTCCGCGCCACAACTGCCAGTGGCCTGTGCTTCTACATCCGATTATTCGGTCTGGAAAGATGCCTCTTCTGAAGTCATTTAAACTACCACCTGCAGACACGTAGCTGGCCCAACTTTAATACCGACCCATCTAGGAACAGGGAAGTGCTGAAGGGGGGGGGGGGAATATATCAGTCCGGCAAATTTTCCATTATCATTGTTCCTTATGTCACCTTGAAGCATTTCTCCACTTTTCCAACTTTCAGAGTCACTTCACTGGCAGACCAACTTAACGTCGACTTTGCCCTTATACACAAGGAACGCAAGCGAGCCAATGAAGTTGATCGGATGGTACTTGTCGGTGACGTAAAGGGCAGGGCGGCTATTCTTGTTGATGACATGGCCGACACCTGCGGCACAATATGCACAGCTGCACAGCGGTAAGGATATCTCTGCTGACTTTGTGAGGAGAGAGTCAGCAGTGTACTTATGACATATGGTCTGCCATTTCGAGCTACTTATGTTTTACTCTCAAATGTCGTGTTTCGTAAATTAAAGAGACAAACGTAAACGTCTGTGGCCGACGACTCAGTTGTATGAGGACTGTTCAAAACTATCGCCGATGTCAAAATTAATTTTTTTATAATATCCATTAACCTTAGGAAGTGGTCTTGAAGCTTATTAGGGCCCTTCCGAGAATTGAGGAATTGTTCCCCTTTTTTTTTCATCCTGTGCATTCCCTACATATTCCTTAATTTTATCCCTGTCATTCTTTGGAACTGGTCCGCACGAAGTTTGTTAAAGGACAGAAATACTCAATTCGAAAATCGTCCTTCTTCCATCCCCCTCAGCGACACGAAAATTTCTCTTTTTTCTTTCATTCTTTTCAGACATCTGTGTTATAGTTTAACCAGTCTCCCTCTCTGTCTAGCCTCACGGAAGCTGGTGCGACCCGGGTTTATGCGATCTGCACTCATGGCATTTTTTCCGGACCTGCAATTGAACGCATTAACAAGTCCTGTTTTGAGGCTGTCGTTGTTACCAATACGATTGACCAGAAGGAGAACATGAAGAAGGCTCCAAAACTGCAGGTAAGGTCTCGCTCTTCAAGGGATTAACCGTTTTATCACGAATAACGACGAAAATCCCAGTCCCAGATACTTGTAAAGAGGCAGCAACCCCTTTTTGCCAAAATGCAAAGGACAACAGGTTGGGATAAGCGGCCAGCAACGCAGATCGTGACCGGTCGGATCTATATTTCTCTACTACGCACTGTCGATAAAAGGACATGAGGAAAGAGATCTGACGAAATCCACGCTGGGTTAGACAAAGCGATTCCAAAACAATTGAATCAGAATAAAGGAGACGAATTCGTTCAGAGAAGTAATTGAGGGATATAAAAACCGGTCCTGTACCTTCAGACATGACGACAGCACCGATACGAGCAATATTTATAGGGTATTTTAATCAATCAGTTCTCCGGACTGTAGCTCTGGAGATCGCTACCTGTGAGGGTAGGAAGTCGGTATGCCAGCCCATGGGGTCCACATCAGGGTTCTAGTAAACAACCGTTAGGTACTTAGGGTTTAGAATTCCGTTGAAATCCATACAACCCGTATACCGGCCGTCAGTCTGCTTACGGATCCCTGCGCAGCAATTTTCAAACAACACTGGTTATTAAATATATGCCCTTCCCTCCGATGTCTTTGCCGTGACGAGCGGATTGAGGCAGGATTGTGTACTCGTCCAACTCACTTTGTCTTAGTGTTCTCCGCTGTGCAGATGGATGCTTATAAAAATGACTGCTCTGGAACAAGTGTTATGTGCCGGATCGATGAGAAGCTCTCCAACATTTAAACAATGTAGAATCCTTCGAAAGCCGCCACGGATAAAAACAACGACTTTGCGATGATAACTGCGCATCCAACACCGCTACAGCGCATGTGGCTCTCCGTTTGCGGATACACCAGGTTTTGACTGAACTAGACGGTGAGCATGCATCATTTGACAGCCATTGTGGATTACACTTAATCCTCGATCACCGTCTATGGTAAACGTCATGCTGTTGTGGGTGAATTTTTTAAAATACGCGCTGTAATCCCGTATTACGCTGCAGCATGGAGCCGCTGCGGCATCGTCTTAAACGCAAAGTACACCGTCGGGGTGCTGACTATGCTCTTGCACGACCCAGAACCCCGGAACTTCTATCAACACCATGCGAAGGAACTAAACAACTTTAAACTCAGCTGCCTTCGTGCGATCCTGAGTGTAGAACGGCAAAGACAACGGCGCACTCCGAGGCTCTGACATCGACCAACAAACTCAGGGTATTTGCAGTATTAAAGCAAGTTCACTTTCGATGGAACGATTAAATCGTAAAGATGTCAGGCATGATCTTCCTGAAATGGATAGTCTAGAGGATGTTACAGAAGTCTGCAGCCAAGAAGGACAAAAGCAACGTCAGAATGACGTCTGAAAGACTTCTATCGACCCCTTGGAGATAAGTTAAGACTCCGTGATAACTTTAGCGGAGTAACACTGTTGGCGTTGCTCACATTGTCTCAGCCTGCTCTCACTGAACACGTTCAGGACCCAGATCGCTCAGGTGAGACAGGTTTATGACATTGCAGGCAGTCAGCAACAGCTCTCGGACCAACCCTCTCCCCACCATTTTACAGTACTCTCCACTGTCAGAAGCTACGCATCCCGAACACCTAGAACCTCATACGGTAACGAATATATAACGCCAGCTTTCCTAATCTTGTGACGTTTATGGCTCCGACGTAGGGGACAGTGGGGAGAGCGTTTGATATAGCAGACGCGATACCAGGGACTGCACATCCACTTTAAATCATCATTTTTATTCCTTCGGCCTCTCCCACACCTCCATTCCTAGACCCGTCTCACTAGTGCTACGTCCACGCCAATCCAAACCTCCCGCAGGTACGGTCTCCTGTCAACAAATATGAGCATCCCTTAACACACTGAATCCTGCCTCTACTGTTAGTGTTCGTTTTTGGGCAGGCGTTAACTTTTTGTACACTGGCGGTAACACGATAGCACTGTCCACCAAGACGTTCCATCGATCACCTATCTTACTAGTGCAAGCCGGTAGAGATAACCATCTACAATTACGACGATCCAAGTACGGTGTCATCACTTGTTTTGTTGCTGCTTTCATCACTGACGATGGATTTGCACGCGAAGGCGAACCCTGAGGAAGATTAACAGGAAGTTCGGTTGCTGCACAAGCCCTCTTTTTCTTTAATCCCAAGGCATATCTGATAGACACAGCTTTTTTCAAATATGCGCAATTGGTCTGGCTAGGCGCTACCTAAATAGGCGTTCTAGATGCTAACTTGAGAGAAGTCAGATGCCGGTTCAACTCAGTCGGGTGGCCTTTTGGCATGAAGTGCGCTTGCTGCTGATACTACATTTCCTATTTGGGATCTTTCTTGCCAGATGCTGTTCAAAGGCATTAAGCTTATCTCTAGACCGTACCTTTTTTACATGGAGCTCTTATCATTATTTGTACTTTGTTTTGTTTGCGCAATCTATCAGTAGTGATGGGTCTTTGGATTTGTTCATTAGAACAGAATAAAGGGCTAATCACTCTTATAAAGCGAATGCCCTGCCAAAATATTTCTGCTGCAAGTCTTCCGAAACAGCACATAAGCAAACCACTTCCATGAAGTTTGCTGAGACGCGTGCCCAGACACGTATTCGTCTGCCCCTGACAGAGTAAATGCGGCCCCCTACCCACAACTGCATTAGAATAAATGCCACGCACAAGTGACCTGTAGGTGTGTTTCATGCAAGACACGTTTCTTCGAGTATTTCAGTTCTTTTTCAAATTCAAACTTACATCTCTTTCCCACAGTGCATTGACATCAGTACTGTCCTTGCCGAGGCCATTCGACGAACGCACAACGGCGAATCAGTTTCCTACCTCTTCAACCACGTTCCCTTGTGATGTGTACGTTTTAAATGCTAGCGGATGAACTACGGATCACGAAGGAATTTTGTGCACCGGTGCCGTTTTTTTATCCTGAAAACAGTCTTACCCCTGCAAAGTTAAACGTTTGATAAAGGAAGAAACCTGTTCAATGTATGGCCACCCCCTCTTTGAAAAATTCCGTCATTTGACGTCCTCCCCACCCGCCATTCGGCGAGTTTTCATCTTAACATTCATCTGTCGTCAAATTCCATGCTATTTTTGCATTCTAGTCTACAAGTTGTACAACTAGAGCAGCGGTAGCTCTGCCGACATTTTTCACGCGGCACTTTGTATGGCAAAGGTGCGCCGATTTTTCGGTTTCCCACCAGCCCAACTACTTACATAAAAGCTTATTAGGTTCCACCGTTTGTTCTGCATCTTCCCCGTTATTCTCCATTTGCCTTTCCGTCGTCGTGTTGTGTATTTTTGGCTTGCTTTTTCCAACCGTGTCTGGTTCTGGAGAGTCACGTTGCGGTTCGTAGACTTTCGTGGCATACCATCCTTGGATTTCCTTCAGGTTACCGAACCGCTTTAAGATCGACTTTAGTGATTGGCTTTATGTCACCTTCTTACAAGCTAAATGAGCATTCTGGGCATTTTACGCATCCTAGCGGGCTGTCGATCTTGATCCCGACTGCCTAGAATATAAGTACCCCCTTTAATGATAGTATAAATGCGATACGCAGGTAGAATGTTTAGAATTGAGGAGGTATTCACTAAAATAGGCGTATTTATTGTTCGGCAGTTTAGTTAAAAAATCGATTACCCATTCTCGGACGCTGTTTCCCTAATAAGGCGCGTCCGCCGGGCCTGATGCCGGTTTTGAGTGAGGGGGGAGTCATGCCATCATGTTGGACAGCACGCGGCGCTCCCGCCTGATGGGACGGGATAGGCGTTATCTCTGCTCGTTGAAGCCTAGATTGTGTCTGTTGGATCGCGGTGACATTCCTCCGTCTCCTGTTTGCGATTGCTTCTGACGTACCAGCAATCGCAGTTTCATTGGGAATATCAATTAATGAGTAGGAGTGACGGCGAACTGGGGTTTCAATCCCCGGTTGCCTTGGGGTGAGCTGGCGTCGAACATTTTGATCTGAGCTCTTAGCCCACACTCTCAACTTCGGTAGTTGCGCTTACGCGTCGTCGTCGTCGTCGTCGTCGTCGTCGTCGTCGTCGTCGTCGTCGTCGTCGTCGTCGTCGTCGTCGTCGTCGTCGTCGTCGTCGTCGTCGTCGTCGTCGTCGTCGTCGTCGTCGTCGTCGTCGTCGTCGTCGTCGTCGTCGTCGTCGTCGTCGTCGTCGTCGGTCTGTCCTTCGACGCTGTGAAGGTTGCTGAATACCATTACGAAATTTCCGACGTGGTTGACCCGACTAGCACAGCTCATTCCGAATGCTTGGGCATTTCCACCCGGTGGTCATCATCATGTGATGGACATTTGGGATTTCTAGTCCTTGGATGCGTTAGATGCTGTTGTTCTTGGCACGCTGCCTCGTCGCAACGTTCACGAACAAAAATCGACGGTGAAATGTGGTTATGTAGCCCCACCTGATGGATACAATACTGTTGGGGTTGGGGGTTGTGGCAACTATTTCTCAGCCACTCAAAGTACAACCGCATATTCCCAATAGCTTTTCTTCGGCCTAGAGTTACTTGACATCGTCGCGTGTGCGTTCCCCGGTCCCACCTGTAAAAAACCCTATTACCACCGGTCCCGTATTACAGGTGGCTGGGGTTTGTTCACTTCAAGTGGAGCTACATAATCACATCAGACCAAATCGACGCCAGGACGACGCATGTATTCACCGGTTGGCGATAGAAAGCCAGGACGGCAGTGCGCTCATTTTTGTATCTTACTAGCTTGTATCGACTTGTACCGATGCTGGTTCAGCAGAGTCCAGAGAACAAGACACCGTAAACCACTTACCTATCCCGTGGGGTTGTCGGTCAAGTACGCAGCGCTTGTCCAGTCAGTGTTCTACTTCCGAAGACTGAAGGCGCTCGAGCTAATCATTCTCACCAGGCCCGATTTAATCATCACTTAGGTTGTAGTGGTGTCCACTGATCCGCGTAATACGGGCGATACAGTCGTGTTTTGGAGCTGACGGCCAGAAACCATGCAATTAGCTGGACTAGTACTCACTATTATTAGTCAATATGCCAGAATTGTCCATTTTAGGGTCCCTACATACGTCAGCAACACTGACTTATTAATCATGTCTGTTGTCTTTTTGATTGGCCCATAGGGCACTCAGACAGTTGTTTTAAGAGATGGTGTATAGAATGACCTCTCCGGGTCAGCCGAGTGCGTGGCCGTGCCATCGCAGATGGCAACTCTTTATATAGTATCCTCGACAGGTGTTCCTCATCGACGACTGAATTTTATATTCAAGGCGTAGTCCATGAGCCGAGTTTGCACCAGTTCTGGAACATCTCAGTCTTCCTCAGGTCAGCCGCGTGCACAGGCCACCATTCGCAACCTTATAAGTGGACGATTTTCACCGTACCCTTGCACAAGGTTACAGACACTCTCATGGTCGGCGGGACATTTTAGGCCAGTTTTTGCGGCGGTTTATGCCCTCTCCCTGACACTGGTATTTCGAACTTAGGTAAAAAGGACCTTTAGTTGCCTCGAGCCACTGTTTGCGGTATTCAGCCGTCAACCGTCCCCACTTTCAGCCCCAAGCTTAGTTTGTCCGATGCAAGCACTTTGCCGTGGGGGGAGATAACCTTTCTTCTAATGAACCTCTATTATGTGGGTATAGTCAAGTTCTGTTGCGGCAAGGTTTTGCCATACCTGGACGTTCTTTTGGTCGTGGGGTAATATGCACATAACCGAGCATATCACCAACATATAGGGTAGCTTTTTACGAATCGTGTGTTGTACAGACCACTTCCTATTTACACGCCTTGCTCGGCTCGGTCATTCACGTGGCGCAAACTCACTACGTCTCAAATAGCCGATTTCCTGTGCGAAGTGCAACTGATTTCACAAACTGTAGATTGCGAGGTCAAGCCATGCTCGTGTCTGCACGCAGCCACCTTGCTCTTGTCAGCCCAGTTCATTTCGAGCAATGTGATGCTCCAGGCTATTCCGCTTTTCAGCTTACCGCAGCACGGTCGACTACGGCTCTGCAAGTGAATAGAGCGCAGTTGGCTGTTGGTGTTCCGGACAGACTGCGTAGACGTCCGCCAGGAGTGCTGTCGAAGAAGCGAATCCGGGGAGTGGCGCGTACTCCCGGGGAGTGGCGCATCCTCCCGGGGAATGGATGTGTGAACACGTTTATCATATTTCGCTCTCTTGGAAAGGAGTACTAACAAGGCGTGTGTCCTCACTCGGGTCCTCTGGATGATCGAATGCCGACTGCAAATATTTTGATTGGGAAGCAGCCTACATCCGCCTAGTCGGTCTTGGACTCGAATTCGCTTCCATAGCATAATCAGTGACACCGTAGACTTATCAAAGAATTGCTTGATCACCCCTGGAGCTGCAATTGTCTGTTGAAGAACCCAGTGTTGTCAGAAGAGACAGCTCTGTTTTTATTTCGTAGGTGGAGTCTAATTAATCAAACTTCTTCACGCATACACACCTCAGTCCCCGATCTGCAGTGTCAGGCTTGCATCAAACTCTCTGTCATGCTGCCGTTTGATGTCGGGTGAATTGACTCGCACTGGCAAAATTCACGGAGCATTGGACAATGGTTTGTCGGTAGCCTCGGCTCTACTTGGGGTCCTGCAGGAGAGGCTGATAAGTCAGCAGCGACCTTTTCTTGGCGAGTCGAATTACACAGGTCTAGTTCGGACGGACTTCGGGGAAAACGTTAAGGTGGTTGCTGTTTTAGTAGCTGTTGCACAATACTTTGGAGCTGTTTTTGAAAATTTCCTGGGATATCGTTTCACGGGGTTTTGATCACACAGAATGAACCGTGTACAGTTTGGATACATCAGATAAAATCACACAGGACAACATTAAATCAGTTAGATTCTAAACCAGACAAATATTTTCTGTCATTAGCTTAGTTTCGGCACCTTGTCTCTCGGTAGCATGATAAGAGAGCTCTCAAGTCGTCGGGATGCGATTTTAAGAAACTACTGTATGAAAGACTGGTTGGCTAGGAATTGTTTTCTATAATTCGCCACCGGGCCGATATGGCAACGCAATTTATAAACTTTTCTGGTGTATAACCTCTTACCTTCCTCAGGAATTTATGTGTGCACTTGGAGTAAACTATTCGACACAAGCCTCAGGTTCGGAGCGAATTTTGATAGAAATATTTTAGCTGAGATGCATCAACTTCAACTGAATAGTCGCCTAACACACGTTCGGCCTCATCGAAGCAGTAGTGTGTCAGGACCGATAGATTTACCATGCTACCAGCAGGGGTACTAGGTAGAAGGCTAGACACGTGTTCCGTCGATTGCTTACCTCTGTAGGGCGCAGGTGCGAGGGGTTAGGCAAGTTAGTGCACCCAACAGCGTCCCCCTATATTTTTTTGGTATACACTCCATAGTACTAATATGGGGGATGCTGGGAGACCCATTGATGAGCCGAGCTCCCTGATGCTGCAACTTACAGCGGTACAACGTCGGCGACACACGTGCATGGGCTTTCATCTAGTACTCCTACTAGCAGTTATGATAAATCAATCCGTATTCATAAATCTTTCTGAGGGCACTTAACTGGATACAAGGTGAACACCGACAAAGCTTTTCGACGCCGGACTGCTACACAGTAACTCAACAGTATTGCCTCCCAGCGAACTCCGAAGCAGCAGTCTTACTAACCGAGAATCCTGTCCTCTCCCCACTGCAAGGATTTCTTATAGGCCACGAGGTTAACACGGCTGAACGCACACCCACCGGACACCGGCATGATTTCGCAGTCGTGACCCCCGCTCTTCGCTCCCCGCTGACCCTGTTCGGCTTACTAACCTAACCGCCTCCCACGCCCCATGAATCCTAAGCCTTTCCCCTACGAAAAAATGTCCTGCGCACAAAGCAGGTTGATATCATTCCCATGTTGCTTGATTCATCAGACTGCTAGCTGGGGTACTAGCCAAAAGCCCAGACACATGTTTCGCCGATATTCTGTCGCTGCGTGACGCAACTGTGAGAGGTTCGGCTCATCGGTGGGTACTCCAGAGTTCCCCAAAGGCATTTCCGATAGATACTTCAGTTTTGAAACACGTTTTTCCATCTCTGTGTGTTTTTCAGCAGCCAGTAGACAAGAAAGTGGAAGAGGGAGCGGATGCGGGCGATAGCGATGCCTTGCTGGTGCTAAAGCGTCTCCAGAATTCGGCCTTCCGTGGACAGCCACTGCTGCCGCTTCTCCTCTCCGACCCCTTTTTCGATTTCAGAGGTTACGCCAGCCGGACAAACAAGTCATCCGACCGCAGTGATCATCGATCCCTCCGCTATAAACAGGACCAATCGTTCTGGAAAGAGGTGCCGGCCCTTCCCAGCCCCTCTTCTGTCATAATTCCCAAGGTCAGATTTCACGCTCGTTTTGCGGGCTTTTCACGTTATTGCGCATTTATTTTGGTATCCATGGGGATTTTTTTAACTCTTCTACCTCAGAGACATCGTTCTGGCAGTTGAATTTCACAGACGGCTTGAAAATGCAAGGTTAATCGTTAGTCGGAGAAAAGGACTGGTCCTCTAACCTTAAACTTGGCTCTAGTTTGGGCTATAATTTTAACCCCGAACCCTAATGTTAGTCCTAACCCTAATCCGACGACAAGGTTTGGAGTGAATATGAGAGAGAGAGAGGGGAGAGAATATTTTTTGTTTTAAAACTGCCTGCGTCTATGACACCGCAGATGCCGCTAACTGGGACCGTTTTGTCGGGCGCTAGGAATTCTATGTATTCAGGTAATAGTTTATGTGCGATTCCAACAAGGCATAACAGAATAGACTAGGTGTTCACGGGGATATTTTTGGTGTCCAAAGTTTTCCAACAGGCAATCCAACTGTTCACTGTGGCGATTCCAGTGCGCGGTCCACTATATGAAGTCAGCGAATACCCTTATCACCGTGAATTACCGGTGATCTAAATGGCGTTTGCTACCAACTCACGAACGGCCACACCCGCATGAGGTTCAGTCCTGGCATATGACCATCAGGAAAACCAAGTCGCAACATGGGGGTTGAAGTTACAGCCTCGTCTTCAAGATGACAAGACAGTTTTCGGTCCAGCATTCTGTACCAAACATAGCTTTGGTCACTTTTACGTCGCGCCGCCGAGGCTTCCTGACGAGGACTTAAAACAGCAGTTGCCAGCCTCGCGATCGAGGATCCATCCACGTTGTCTTCTCTCGGGTTAGAAGGCGAAAGTGGATGTTGGTG